TGGGTATTTTTAAGGTATCCACAAGTGTTATCCCAGTCACGCAAGAATCTCTATACCGTGTACACAGCCTTGAAAAATCTCCCGAGGTGCTTGGCGTGGGGAGCTCAGAGTGGTTTCCCCTTTTCTTTACCAATGTTTACATACTCCAACTAACTGGTGGTTTGGTCTGGTTTCAGGGAGGAAGGGTAGGAAAGCTTTCAGAAGAGAAAAGTCATTCTTAAATGAAAATCTGATTCAAGTGAAATCCAGCCCTACGGTCAACAGTGCACAGCGCCACGCGGGACAAGCCAGGATCCGGTCTTCTGCATGTGAGCAAGGATGCGCCCCGAGGCCCCGCCTCCCGCCCCGCCCGCCCTTTGATACCCTGTGCGCTCCACCAAGTCCCGCCCACACGCCTAGGCCCCGCCCCATCCACGCAGACCTCGCCCCCAGCCGCTGCCTTGCCCAGCCCGTGCTTTGCATTTAGAGGAGGCCGACCCAGGGCCCGCCCACTCTATGCCCCATTCCGCCCGCAACGCCCGCGACCCCGGAAATCGGAGACGGTGGCCCAATGGCCCCACCTCCAGCTGCGCAAAGGCTCCGCCCCCAGACAGGGCCCCGCCCCTCAGTCGTGAGCCGCAGCTGCGAAGCCTGCCGTACCCCGGACTTCATTTCCGGCGCAGGCCTCTTAGAAGTCACGCCCCAAGGCTCCGGAGACCCCGCCCTGCGCCTCTCGCGAGTCTGCTTCCGGGGTGGGGCGAGAGGCTAACACGTTAGGCCGAAGGGCTGTCCCCACTGTGGGCGATCTTCACCCTTTTCCGTTCCCTCTGTGCTGTCCCGCCCCCCGCCCCCCGCCCCCTGCCCAGGGGTGAGCGCGTTGCCTTCTAGGCCCCTAGCGAAGGCAAGCCAGAGCACTATGATGCCACGGAGTTGTGCCACCCATGTCCGAGAAGTGCAGAGCAGAGGCTAGCCCCGCAGGGTGGCCACCTCTTTCGGAGGTCCGCAGGCCCAGGGATGAGAGCAGCTTTTTTTTTTGACAGCCACTGGCCAGGCGGCCCGCACGTGAGTGATGTGCTGTTAACAGTGCTCCTCCCAGCAGCTGTGGCCCGCACTGTCCCTCCACAGAGAGCTGGAGCCCTGCTTGGGTGTGCGCCACACCCTGGTTTTGAATCTCTGGCTTTAACCCGTTTTGCTCCACTGGAGCCTGTAAACGTAGTTCCCTTCCTTGGTCACCGCGGGTCGCCAGCTCTGCCCTCTTCATCGCTGTTTCATCGGTAGCTGGAAGACCTTCCTTAAGCACCCTGGAGGTGCCTGATGTCCCCACCCACCTGTTCACCAAGATCATCAAATATAGATGCTCCTTAACGATGGCTCATACCGACAACCCATTGTGGCTTGAAGACATCGTCCGGTGCTCCTAATCTACTGAAGGTCCTGGCTTATCAACGCAGCACACAGGAGCATGTGGTTTCCCCTGGTGATGGCTGGCGTTGAGAAAAGGGTGTTTCTATGGCATTATCAACAGCAAGAGAAAGATCAAATTCAAAATCCCAAGTCCTGTTTCTGCTGACTCCTTTCCCATCTGCACCACTGCAAGATCAACCCCAAAATGCACCATTGCAGGTCGTGCATCATCTGCACACTGTCTCTCTTTGTACAGGATAGAGCGGGTGGGGTGGGGAAGAGGGTCTCGATGAAGCCTTTGAAGAGAGGACATGGAAAAGTAGGTGATTTCCAAGCATCCAGTTTGTCGGATCAAGCTTGCCAAGGCTCTCTCACCGACAAAATGTGCATGAGAGATCACTCCTGTGTTCTCATTAGTGTTGAAGAAACCAGCCTGAGTGCATTGAGGCTGCTTCTCCCATCTGTACCTGCTGCTCTCCCTGGGATGTCCTGAGGTATCTTAAGGTCCCATGTGTCTTCCTAGCTCTTATGTACTGAGTATTGGCAGCAGCAGGTACCCAGGATGCCTGGCCATGGGCTTGGGGTTTAGTATTAAAAACAAACAAACAAAAAAAACAAAGCTTGGGAACTGGCCGGGCAGTAATGGTGCATGTCTTTGATCCCAGCACTCAGGAGGCTGAGCTAGGTGCATCTCTGTGAGTTCGAGGCCAGCCTGGTCTACAGAGCAAGATCCAGAACAGATACCAAAACTACATAGAGAAACCCTGTCTCGAACTCCCCCCCCACCAAAAAAAAAAGATAAAGGGAGTCTGGAGAGATGGCTTAGCAGTTAAGAGCACTTGCTGTTCTTCCAGAGGACTTGAATTCAGTTCCCAGCATCCAAATCCAGCTGCTCACCACTGCCTGTAACTCCAGCTCCAGGGAATCTAACACCCTCTTCTGACCTCCACAGGTACCTGAATGCACATACACATATATAGTCACATGCACATACATAACAATAAAGTAAATTGTTAAAATAAAGATACAGAGAAGCTCTCTCAGACCTGAAACTAAGCTAATTAATTTGGGAGAAAAACCCAAACTTGATCCCAGTTTTAATGTTGAGTTCTTTTTATGCCGTCAGGAATTTTCGGAGGAACCCAGGAGCCTCTAGAGTCTAGACACATCTGGAATTCTAGTGACCACCTCTTTGCCCCCATCCTTGGCTGGGCTCTGCTAGCCGCACATTAGCTGTGATAATCTATTTAGAAACAGCTACCTCAGTGACTCATCATCCTTCAGGAAATCCCCAGAAGCCTCATCTGTTTCCTCATGGGTAGACTGGATTTTGGGGGAGCCATTGAACATTTCTGGGCTGGGTCTACTGAATGGTTTTGCAACAGCCAAGTCCAGGCCTCCTGTTCAGTGCCAGGCTGTGCTGAAACTGTAAAGCCAGGACTCCTCCTGGCTCCCGGCTCTAAGGACGGACAGCGTGGCCTAGAAGCCTAAACTGTTCACCAGTGATGTTGGTTAGGGTAAGTGTCTAATTGTTCACCCAAAATGCCAAGCTTGGTGGAGGAATCAAGCTGAAGCATCCTGGTTAACACAAGGCTGCCTTTGTGTACTGTACAGCTTGATGTTCATAGGATTTTGTCCTTGAAGGAAAATTTTGGAGCATTTCTGACCAGCATCTGAGAGGGAACATCTGTCCTACTGATGATTGGATTTTGAGATTCTGAAGCTGGTTTCCTCCCAGCCCATCTTGACTCACTCCAAGGCTCTGGTTCAGCCATGCATCTCTCCAGCCCTCAGTTTCCCCATCTCTGATGCTCCAGGGAGGAAAGGCACAGGCTGAGCCCACACTTGTGGGTGACAAGCTCACTTATAAGCTTAAAAATATTCACAAAGTTCTGTTCACAGCAGCTAAGACAAAGAAACAAACAAATCATTAGAAACAACCCAGTGATTGTCAGTGGACAGATAATCTTTGGTCAGCATGCCATGGAATATTACAGACTCAAGAAAAGCAGCAAGCTGTGGTAGACTAAGCAATAGAGGTGAGTGCAAGTGTGCCAGGCAAGAGTTCGTACTCTGTGGCTCCTTTATATTAAGTCGGGCGAAGGTAAAAACACTATGCAGTGACAGGCTTCAGAGATGTGACTGTGGGGCCTGAGAGTTGCCACCTCCCTATGAGAGGCTCCAGGGAACATTAAGTATGTGAATACAGAGATTTTCTTGGTGCAGGTGGTGGTGATACGGCGCTACACCAGAACTCACAAGTATGCAATGCTGACTGGGTTTGTTATTTATTGAGACAGGGTCTTGTGTATTCCATGCTGGCCTCCAGCTTGCTTTGTAGCTGATGATAACTCTGAATCCTCATGCCTGCGTCTACGAGGTGCTGAAAAAGCAGACTTGTGTTGCCACTGCTGCTGCTGTGTGTGGTACTGGGTGTTGAACCCAGGGCCTGGTGCCTGTTTAGCAAGCATTCCACTAACTTAGCCACACCCCCAGCCTAATGATGCCGATCTTAGAAGTGACTTACCTTTTATTTTTCACATCCTATAGAGACTAATATTCAGTGTTGTAAAATTCTACGACATACTGAACAAGAGTTTAAAATAATCTATGTTGTGATCTAACTACATGTAGACATGTGTAACTTACCATGTAATCTAGTTTTATGCACACACATATGTATGCTTACATGCACACACATGTACTGTTTGAAATATTCCAGGACTTTAAACAAAATGTACCCAGTAATTACCTTGTGAGTAATTTCTGTTTTCTTTTTTGTGCTTTCTGTATTTCCAGATGTTCCTTAATGAACACTTTTATATTTATAAACAAATTAAATAAAACCAAGCATATCTCCTATCTTTTTTTCCCCAACTACAGCAGGTCAGGGAGGTGGAACTAGACTCAGAGAGCACCCCAATTCCAACCAAGGGCACCGCCCAGTGAGGTGGCTGCAGGGATGGCTTTGGTCTGGAACATCCAACCATCTGCCCTTGGCTCGGTTTCTGTGCTGGTCACTCTGAAGGGCTGTGTGCCCGCTTAGCTCCGCCAAGCTCTGTGGGCAAGGGGAGCCAGGAGAACCCTGTCCCTGAAAGACTTTTCTGATTGGAGGGCTGGCCTGGGGCCATTTGCATCTCTGTGGGTACAGCTGCCTTCTGTGTTGCCCTGCCCAGCGTAAGGTCTGGGGTTTGGATCCCTTTGCACCCCTGTTGGACACCCTGCTTCCTCAAGGCCTAGTGAGAGTAGCATTAACATTGGTAGGCAGAGCCTGGGTCAGTCACTGAACGTAAACTCATCCACTGGTAACCCTGAAATCTTAGGGCTATTGTTTGGGTGTAACCAAAGCTTTAGATGAGAATTAACTTGCCCAGAGAACCTTGGCCAGTAGTTGGTCGAACTTAACCCCTTGCTTGGGCTTCCAGTTCTTATACTTTCAGTTCCCATGAGTCTCTGGACCCAATAGCTGATTAAGGGTGGTGTGGGTTTGGGGCCTGGATTCTTTCTAGTTCTGTGGCTAGGCTTTGAAGTTGACTGTGATCTTCTCTGGGAACAGGATTCTGCTTTCATCAGAAGCTGCCGGGGGGCCAGTGTTCACTACCTGTCTCTCCCGCCTGCTGGTCTCACAAGGGTGCTAAGGGAGGCACTCTGGTTCCTTTTCTTTCCCTGATTGATGGAGCAGATTCTGCAGCAGCCTGTGGGTATAAATAAGAGCCCGAGACTGTTAAAAATAATGTTTTAACCAAATCTCAAACGGGAACGCGGAGGCACAGAAGGTTAAGGACGCGGTGTGATGCAGAGCTTGTCAGCAGCAGCAAATGTCAGTGTCTAGTCCTGGAGAGCAGCCCGCCACAGAGGCCAGGTTTATGGCTGGTGTGAAGGCAGCCCACGGTGTGGTCGGCTGGGTGTCCCTGCAAGGAGTAGGGAGGTCGTTGACTCTGCTCAGCGTCTTCAGTGAGGTACCACTGTGCTTGCGTGCGTGCGTGCGTGCGTGCGTGCGTGCGTGCGTGCGTGCGTGCGTGCGTGCGTGCGTGCTTTCTGTGTCTCTGTCTGTCTGTCTGATCTCTGTGTGTGTGTGTGTGTCTGTCTGTCTCTCTCTCTCTCTCACTCCTTCCCTCTCACACTCCCTCTCCTCCCCTCTCCCCCCTCCTCTGTGTGTACTCGCTGGCCCACAAACTCCCCAGGATTCTCTGCCTCCTGTCTCCCCACATTAGCAATGGGATTCCAAACACCTTTATCCTGACAGGTTCTTTGTGTTGGTTCTGGGGATTTGAATTCAGGTCCTCATGCTCATATGGCAAACACACCCACCGAGGTTGTCTCTCATTGGTGTGTGTCTAAGTTCATTAATGCCCTCATCTATCGTAAGGATGCGTATGTGTATAGGCACAGTCGTGTCACACCATTTGTGTGGTGGAGCTCAGACAACAATCTACGGTCAAACCCACTGGTTCCTAAGAATACCTGCAGGCCGGGAAGCTCTCCCCCCCCCCTCCGCCCCTCGCCTCCACCTCACCCCCGGCCTGAGGGAAGCAAAGCATCCACATAGGAAAGCCAGAGATGAGCCCGATGGCTTCGGACCGTATAGTCTCATCCTAGTCACACAGTGTCTCCCTCTCTGAGACACACGTAATAAGTTGCCACTGAAATGTTGCTTTGTTGTTTTTTTTTTTTTTTTCTCACCTATCCAGGATTTGAAGTTATTTCTGTGGGCAGAATTCAGTAACAGACTCACCAATGATAAGACACTCGCCTTGTGTCATAGTTAACCTACGGCCACAGTCAGCATGGGCTACTCAGTTCTCGGGGCCCAGAACAAGATGAAAACACAGATCTGGCTCAAAAATGACTCAGAGGCTCAGGCAGGTAACGTCGGACAAGCATGGGCTCCTTGTGTGCGCATGGCCCTGTGGGACCGAACATGCCACACACCTACGAAGCCAGTCCTGGGTAAATACTGTGATTTTATTTCCATCTTTGTGGGCTCTCCCCACCCTACTTTTTTTTGTTGTTTGTTTTGATGGGATTATTGGTGTGGACCGCCACTCTGGTTTATGATGCTGGGGATCAAACCCAGGGCTCCATGAATGCTGAACAAACACTTTACTGAGTACATTCACAGTCTTCTTCATTATTTCTTCTTTCCCCCCACTTCCATGTTCCTCCCTTGTTTGTTTTTTAAAGAAGTTTTTTATTTTTATTTTTTATGTGTATAGGTGTTTTGCCTGAGTGTATGTCTGTGTACCGTGTGTGTACAGTGCCCAAGGAGGCCAGAAGAGGGTGTCGGATCCCCTGGAACTGGAGTTACAGATGATTGTGAGCCCCTGTGTGTGCTGGGAATCAAACCCAGGTCCTCTGCAGGAGCAGCAGCCAGTGCTCTTAACTGCTGAGTCATCTCTCCAGCCTCAACATCTTTATCTTTTTAAAAGACAGTAGTAGCCTTGGCTGACCTGGAATGTGATATGTAGACCAGGCTGGCCTCAAACTTAGAGATACACCTGTTTCTGTCTCCTGAGTGCTGGGATTAAAGGTATGGGACATCATGCCCCACTCTCAAGATTCATTTTTAAGTGTGTGTGTGTGTGTGTGTGTGTGTGTGTGTGTGTGTGTGTGTATGAGTGTGGGTGTGCAGGTGCGTGATGAGGCCAGAAAAGAATGTCAGGTTCCCTGAAGCTGGAGTTACAGGCAGTTGTGAGGAGCCTGATGTGATTGCTGGGAACCAAATATGGCTCCTCTCAAAGCGGTACATGCTTTTTACCCATTTATTTCTCCAGCCCCCTTTGGTTTTGACGAAGTTTCTCACAATGCAGCCCAGACTGCCTCAAATTCACAATTTCCCTACTTTTGATTCTGAGTGCTGGAATAACAGGTGTGAACCCCACACCCAGCCCTTTGGGACAAACCGAGCTCTGAAGACAAGGAATGCAGATGCAAAGGAGGCCATGTTCCAGGAAGACAACGTTTTGGACGCACTGAACAAAGTGGGCTTTGCAGACACCGCTGTCCCTGTCGCCGCTTGCTGAAGCCATGGTCAGTCCCACATGGCACCTGATGGTGAGCCTTGGGCTGGTCTCCTTCAAGCTATCCGCTGACAAAGTTCCAAAGGCAGCAGAAAACTTTGATGATCCGAGCACTGGAGAGAAAGGATTTGAATATGAGTTCCCCCTTCCGAGGAATTATTCCAGGATTCAGGTGGCAGGGTAGCTACTTCATACTCTACAACACCCCATAATGACACTGGCAGCCGGTCCATCGACAGGCAGAAATTTGAGGATGAGAACTTCACCCTGAAGCATTCAGGTTCTGGCACCTTGTCCAAGGCAAACACAAATAGTTCCCAGTTCTTCATCCGCCCTGCGAGGACTGAGTGGCTGGCTGGCTGGCAAACGTGGGCTTTGGAAAGGTGAAGGAAGGCATGGGCCTTTGTGGAAGCCGTGGAGTGTTTTGGACCCAGGAACAGCGAGACCAGCACGAAGATCATCACTGCTGACTGTGGACAGCTCTAATTTCTTCCCCACTAGACCATGCTTTCTGTAGCTCAGGAGAGTGACTCTACCCCATCTGCCAGAAATACTAGGTTCCACATTTTCCTCATTCCCCTCCAAATCTAGCAGGATTGAATAAAAATAAGAAAGAAAAAAAAGGAAAGGAAAGAAAACACCAAGTGGAGATCCTGGTAAGGGCCACAGTGGAGAAAGCCGGCAGGCTCCCCCCCACCTCCCTTGAAAATGAGTGTGTTTTAGACTGAATTCTCTTGAAGGGACCACCATGCCTTGATGGAATTCCCACCGCTCTGCAGTGGAGTGGTTGAGATTGACTGTCACGGGGCTTGTGGATTTGCTGGTTACTTTGAAAACTGCAGTGGGAAGTATCATCCCACACTCTTAAGACAGGGTCTCCAGTTTCCCTGGTAGGCAAATCCACCCCCCTCCCTACCAGCACCATGAAGCCCATGGGGGATGCTGGGAACACCTTGGCAGCCTGTGGAGGCCAAGAGTCTGTGGCTCTCAGAATGGGTGCCATGGCTTTCTTGGCTAGCTCCTGGCTCCACCCCTCTGTGTCCCTAACCATGTCATAGAAGTTTCCAGGAAGGTGGACAGTGTCATCACATGCTCCAACGGCTGAGCTCTTCTCTGAGCCCCGTGTGGACCGATTCTAGACAGAACTGAAATGAAGATACTCACTCAGCAGAGAGGTGCCGATCTGTCGCCACCACCCACTTTTGTGGAAGAAAAGAACATATCCTTCTTACCCCATCCTCACTTCCAGACTGGAGTCTGGGCTCTTGTTCCCTCCTAGGAAAAAGATAAAACAAGTTCTAGGACTTTCTAGGCTGCCCTTCTCCTTGTTACGGTCTGGTTTTTTCTTTTTTCTTTTTTTTGGTTTTTTTTTTTTTTTTTCTCCTGTCTCCCGGGCCGGCCTGTTTTCTGTCTTTGTTGCCAAGCTCAGACGTCGCTCCTGAAACCCAGCCCAGCCTCTGTGAAGTCCGGAAACTTCGAGTTCAGCGGCTGTGCACGAAGTTGGGGTGGCGAGGCAGGAGAGATGGGCATTAGCACCCGGAGCTGCCCGAGGACGTGACCCTGGGCTACGGCAGAGCCTGCTCCTTAGGGATCTCAGACAGTCCCGGCGGTGGCCGTGAACTTGACTCTTTGATTCTCCCCGGCCCCCCGCACCGCCCAGGGCTCCGGTTGACCTGGTAAGTGCTCGGCCCTCCGCTCGGCCCAGGCCGGGTCTGAGATGGTGTTAGCTGCTGAAGCTGGAGGGAACGTCAGGGGCATGCGTGGGGGGCCGCCCTGGGGTGCAGTCTGAGCCCCAGCCGGGCAGCCCAGCCTCGCACAAAGGAAGGCTGCAGAGTTAGGCCAGGAATGCTCTGCTGAGACTGTTTCCTTCCTCAGCCAGAGCTGCAGCAGGGGGCTCTTAAAAGGGGGAAAAAGAGTGTTTCTTGTTGCACATGGCCGGCCCCTTTGGGGATGCAGGACGAGAAGCATGTGTTAGCCTTCCTAGTCTGGGCTGCCCAGAGGCAGGACACCCAGCCAGGGCTTCACCCTGCTGCAAGAGCGGGGGTGGACAATGTTGCCTGAGGTCAGCCAGGCTGTAAGTGGCCATGGCCAGTGCCAGAGACACAAGGCAGCTGTGGACAGAGGGTCTGGGGAGGAGACAGAGTGGGACCCTGGAAGCGCTGGTTTCTGGGTTCAGACCCTAAGACCACTTGTGTAGGCCACTTCTGAGCACCATCTCCCTTTGCCTGAAACGAGTACTGGCCTAGAGAATAGCCAGTGTGCGTGCGTGCGTGCGTGCGTGCGTGCGTGCGTGTGTGCGTGCGTGAGTGTGTGTGTGATCCCCATGAGGTTGAACTCCCCTTCCCAATCCACAGGCAATGGCAACCTCCCAGAGTTCTGCCCTGAGTCAACAAGACTATAACCAGGTACCCCAGCCATTGCAGGGACCACAGGAACCACTGGCTAGCTCCTACTGCCGACGCTGGCCAGGTCTCCAGCTGTCTAGAGACCAGCCCTAACCTAGATCTCTGTCCCTTGGGAAACCCAGGTATGAGCTAGAGGTCTGGGTCCCTGGGTCCCAGCAGGCTACCTACCCTCAGTACCCCATACCCCCAGCAGGTTCTCAGACAAGGGTCTGGAGAGAAGAATGCCAGACTTCCATAACATTGAAAGTATTATGGGACAAGGAAACAGGCCCCAGGCTCTTGCAGACTCCTGAGGTTGTGAGCCTCTTGTACATGTGAAGTGAATGGGCTCATGTTAAAAGGCAGGCTTCCTAGTGCCTTGGGGACTCAGCCAGAGCCTTGAGGAGGAAGCCACCTGGATTGGAAGACCGGTTTCTGCTTTCACTATACCTCATGGAGAAGGTGAGTGGCCTTTTAAAGCCATATTTGACTGTGTGAGATGATTCCAAAGTTAAAAATCTCCCCCAAATCAAGATTCCCAGCACTGGAGGGATGGGTCAGCAGTTTAGAATGCTTGCTGGCTGGGTATGGTGACACACGCCTTTAATCCTAGGGTTCAGGAGGCAGAGGCAGGTGAATCTCTGTGAGTTCAAGGCCAGCCTGATCTATAGTGAGTTCCAGGATAGCCAGGGCTATATAGAGAGACCCTGCCTCAAAACACCAAAACAGTCCGGTGGCGGTGGCGGCAGCGGCAGCGGCGGTGGCACACGCCTTTAATCCCAGCACTCAGGAAGCAGAGTCAGGCAGATCTCTGTGAGTTTGAGGCCAGCCTGGTCTACAGAGTGAGAGAGCCAGGACAGGCTCCAAAACTACACAGAGAAACCCTGTCTCGAAAAACAAACAAACAAAAAACACCAAACTAAACAAACATAAAGAGGGCTTGCTGCTCTTCCAGAGGAAGGATGCCAGCTCTTGGTCTCTAGCATCCACTTCTGGTGGCTCGTAACCACCTATAATTCCAGCTCCAGGGAATCTGATGACCTCTTCTGGCCTCCACAGGCACATACCCACTTAAACATACACATGACTGGGTGTGTGCGCGCGCACATGCAGGCGTGTGCGCAACTGCACACACAAATACTCATCATTTAAAATTTAAAATAACTGTTTTTTTTAGTAAAGATTCCAGATCTGTCTTGGCCCCAGAGCTCTGCTCAGTCAGTTCCCATGACAGTCAGAGGCCGCAAGGGCGACAGGATGCAGGAAGCAGGTCTGAACTTGAACTCCGGTCATGGCCCAGGTAGTCAGAGGCAGGATGCTGAATGCTGGGATATTTGTGTCCTCCTCAGGCAGGGTCAGCTCTGGGCACACAGCCTGCCTCTGCATCCTAACACGACCCCATCCAAGTGGAATGATGTCCCTGGCTTGAACCTTCCTGTCCTCACTGGTTACAGAGCATAACAAGAGTTCTGACTCAGGCGTCTCTCTGGGCGGGTCAAGAAAATATTTGCAGCATCTCATCAGCTCCTCAGTGAGTCCCCTGCTAGCTCACAGCTGGTGGCCCAGAAGCCAGGCTCCTGCTTCCTCTCTTGGGTCATTTGTCTTTGAAAGTCCTTTCTGACGACATCAAATGCCTTTCCCCTCGTCTTAGGTGGGTTTTTTTTTTTCCACTGAGCCCCTCCCCATGGGGACTGAGAGGCAGGGAGAAGCTACCCTGGGCAATGCCAGTGTCAAGATTAGGTTCTCTAAACCCACATCCCAAGCAGAGGCTCTGCTTCCTGCACAGTGCCCAGGCCGCTTGTCCTATAATCTGTTGAATGCCTGTAGAGAAGGTAGCTGTCTGCTTCTCTGTGGGTGCTGTTGCAGTTGCTGGAGCCTTCTGGGCACCCTTCACAGTTACTTGAGGGGGCCCAAAGGGGCAGGTAACAGCTCTGTGTCCGAGGCATCTGGTTTTACTAGGGAGAGCACCCCTAAGAAGGTCCTGAGAACATAGACTCCATCCCATCTCTAGAAAAAAAAAATCATCAGGGAATGGTTTTTGTTGTTGTAATTATTTACAAACCTGAGCCCAATTCTCGTTTTTTGTTTTTTTTTTTAAATTTTATTATTTTTTATTTTTATTTTTTTGCCAGCATTCTATTTGCTAATGCCAGGTCTGTGTTGGTGACCCCCACCTACTCCCTAACAAATATGTCTCTTTCCCTGGGGATAGCTAGCATTTATATACTTTAGTTTTCTGGGGTTAGATTCCCAATTTTGGAAAATCTGGATGACACGTAAGAAGAAAAGGAGTCACTGAGTGGCAGAGTAGCAAATCTGGTAGCTGTATGTAGTGGCGGGGCGTTGATGTCCAGCTCTGTGGAGCCCTGTGGGGTTTGTCTCTGTCTCTGTGGGCCGTGCGGGCCTTGGGATGGAAATGTGTGGCCTTCCTAGTTTAAGAGTGAATTGCGAGTTTCACGAGGGTGACAGTGGAGGATTTAACAGAACGTAGGGCCCTTCTGAACTCAGGTGCTTGCTGAACACCGGGCCCGTGTGGCAGCAGGAGTCCCAAGCCGCTGAGCGAGGGCTGACCCTTGTACCTCTTCATGCTGAGGCTTCGGAAGGCTGTAGGCAGCCACATTGAAGGCTCGCCATTCCTCTTCCTCAGTGTGTGTGTGTGATGTATGTGCGTACATGCGTGCATGCATGTCTGTGTGTGTTGTGGGATCCTCCCAAAAGAAGAAAACCATCTTTTAATTACCTTTGAATTCACACTGAGTGCACCCACTGGGAACAGCTCACCCACCTTCCTTGACAACAAAGCACACTCATGTCTTTGTGTGTCACACAGCACCTCATGGGTATCTATCTCACTAAGAAACTGATCACAGCTTTTTGCCGGTGTCGAATGACGTAGGGCTACAAAGTGATTGTCATGGCTAGCTAAGGGGAGATCCTTGGGTGGACTTCTTCAACCAGTCCCTCATCACTGGACGTGAAGATTCTTCCCAGACTCCTTTGCTGTTAGCCGTAGCACAGAGTGCACACATGTGCATATCCTGCTTCCCAAGGCCGTGAGCCCCTTCAGGAGCCCCGGTCAGTCGGCTAAGGGAACGCTTTTGGTTTGGGGAGCTTCTTAAGGCTATCTGAAATTTCACCTGGCCCAAGTGTCTCAGCCACCAGACGTTTGTGGGTGACACACGGATGCCATAGCCCTGGCATCTACAGCGGTCCTTTTATCCAAGTTGCCATGGGAATCCCATGCTGGCCACAGACTATCCTGTTGCTCTTATGGTAGACGGACACAAGAATAATTACAGAGCTGACAGTGGCCCCGTATCACTAAACTGTGGCGGGGACATGGGAGACCAATGTTGCAAAGTAGACTGCCTGGACCCCTGGGCTTGTTGGATAGAGTTAGAATGAAATAGCATGATGCTCACTCATGGACATTGCTCAGTCAATGGCCAGGAGGAAGAGGAGGGATCAAGGAGGAGGGAAGAAGGAGGAATGAGGAGGTAGAAGAGGAAGGAAGGGAGGAGGTGGGGAGCAACCATCTCACCTCTGGCCGATGAGGGCCACCAGCGAGAGAAAAGGCTTTGCCAGGCATCAACCCACCTAACCAAAGGCTCCTAAGAACCTGAGCTACACTGACTGCTAGGCGTCGCCAAGCCCGGCCCCACAGCCCGGCCCCACAGCACTGCTGCAGATGAGCTCCGGCTGTGGAATGGCCGCGCTGTCTATCTGGGTCCTTGCAATGTTCTGCACCCTCAGGGCCACTGATACTGTAGTCAGAACATGGCAGATTCATTTCCTTTCTGGACAGAAGGTTAAAAATCCGGTGGAGATCTCACTGGGCCAAAAGCAAGGTATCAGGGGTGGTTGTCCTTCAAGGAGAGAGAAATTTCCCGACAGGGGTTGGAGGAACATTTTTGGAGTGACTACTGTGTGTCAGGTCCTTCATGATTTCTTTCTTTCACCCAACCTCTGATGGCTGCTTGCATTTTTTTTTTTTTTTTTTTTTTTGCTTCTTGTCCCTCCTCTGTCTTCAATGGCAGCGATTCTCTCTGCCTAAAAGGCTTGTGGGTAGTCCAGGTCAGCTTTCTGTTCCAGGTTCTTAACATCATCGTACCTTCCGTCTACATTGTCTTGAAAGGTGGTGACACACCTGTAGTTTCTACGGACTGGGATCCGAGCATCTCAGGGCCATCATCCTGCCCAGCAAGGGTGGTGTCAGGAATAACCTGAGGTTTCCTGGAGCGTTAAGGGATGTCCCTCTCCTCTTCCTCTTCTTCCCCTCCTCTCCCTCCCCCTGGTCCTTCCCTTTTTCCCTGCTTTGAGTGTGCGCTTATATATGGTCAGGGAAGCCAGGGACATGGAACATGTCCCTAGTGCAGACACCCTCTGTCCCTACTTTTGATGGCCCGCCTGCAGGAACACCAGCTTCAAGGCTTTCCCTGCACCTTCAGGAGGGATCTGGGCCAGGGGATGCGTATGAAGTTACTAATGTGAATCAGG